CACGTCAAAGACAGACAGCTTCCGTCTCACAGTCTCTTGTAAAGAAAGCAGCTTCTTGGAAGGAAACTGGAATTTCAGTCATGCCGAGTCCCAGACAGCCCGTGAGCCTCCCACCGCAGCGCGTGGAGCAGACCCGGCTCTCGCAGGACTTGAACACCGACAAATGTCCTGCCACCTTGCTGGCTATCCGTTCCATCTCTTTCCAGCTATTTTAAGCAGTTGCTGGTGTAATGATATGCTACAAACTCGATGATTTCCACAATGGTACAGAGAAGCAGCATGAGATGATCAAGCATGTGAAGTTCATACCGACCTTACACTATGGACACTTGTACTGGGGGGGAGGGACATTTCGGTGCCGTAAGATTAACGCGCATTTAAACAGCATCTGGAACGACTAATGCGAGGTGGGGGCTGCAGAAGCCTCCCCCGGCCACCTTGCAAGAGCCTCCCGTTAAACATGCCGCCAACATCCGCTTGCATCGGGTAGGAAAAACCTGCAGCACAAACGCCATTTCCTACATTATCTGGAAATGTCAAGAACACCGAGGGGCAACAGACAGGCAAAGGGCACGAACTAGTTGAGAGAAGCGGGCACCTCTCTCGAGGAGTGCATACGGTACAAATGCTCCGATATAGCCCCCCAAAAGCACAGCGGTGTCCCTCCGCACCACCCAACACAACTGCTTCATTGATGGGACAGGAATATCTTTTCTGCGAGGCTCCTGCCCATGTAGTGTTTATTGTCTGACATGAAGGGGTTTAAAAACCGTCCTCCCCCCGCACGGCACGGCTGCAGGACTCGGAGTTTCTCTGCACCATGCCCGAATCCTCCGTGTTCCCGTTCCGACTGCAGGCTGTGCTCACCCAAACCTCAGAGCATCACGTTTTAAGAACACTATGAGCACTAATATCTAAAGCAGTTTACAAATATTACAAATGTAAAAAATAAGACTAAAAAAGGTGACATGGCTCTAAAACATCGCTGCGTGGAATCGGCAGAAATCTACACCCTATCGGACACACCGAGGTCAACATAAACAAATTTATATACAGATAAATATTTAAGAATTTCCTACAAACATCACTAACAAAATGAAACTGGCATTTAACGGGTGCAATGCCCCTTCATTCACTTCAAGTGAAGCGTGCAATTTGTACAATTGGTTGTACCACAGTGCGCTGGGGATTTCCTCAGCCCCGGGGAGGACGGGCGCTGCGGGTCCAGCACCTCCTCCTCCTCCAGCAGCCGGGAGGGACGATGGTACCCGAGC